GAACACATTATTTGAAAACTGAGAAAATATGTCTAGATACTGTTTACTTCTTGGTGAAATTATTTAAATCCAAATAATTTTATGTAAGTACAGAACCAGAGGTAAAATGTTATTGCCATGAGAATTTATGAATCTATATATCTTATATCCAAAGTCCAGAATCTCAGGGACAGATAAATGTACACACATATTCACGCATACGTGCATGCATATACACATTTGGACTTTGACAATTTTTCAATATGTAAAATTAGTAGCAAATTAAGTTCTCCTTGGGGAAAAAGTCATTTGTTAAGCTTGCATATGATCAATGCCACTGATTATCTCTGCCTTTTGTAAAAATCAGAGGTTCTCTTTGCCAAAGAATTCTCAAAGTCTGATATATTTAATTGCTGGAAGAAAATTGGAAAGTGTATTTATTCTTTATCAGTGTTAATATTTACATTAATAATGGAAGTCCGTCATCTTTATACCTCAAACCACCAAGTATATATATTCACATTTAATACTTTTTCTGTATTTCAGGGTGTTGATGATGCCTTCTATACATTAGTTCGAGAAATTCGAAAACATAAAGAAAAGATGAGCAAAGATGGTAAAAAGAAGAAAAAGAAGTCAAAGACAAAGTGTATAATTATGTAAATACAATTTGTACTTTTTTCTTAAGGCATACTTAAGTAAAAGTGGTAATTTTTGTACATTACACTAAATTATTAGCATTTGTTTAGCATTACTTAATTTTTTTTCTGTTCCATGCAAACTTAGCTTTTATCTTAAATGCTTATTTTAAAATGACAGTGGAAACTTTTATTCCCCTCTAAGTGCCAGTATTCCCTGAGTTTTGGTTTTTGAACTAGCAATGCCTGTGAAAAAGAAACTGAATACCTGAGATTTCCATCTTGGGGTTTTTGGTGCATGCAAGTTGATTACTTCCTATTTTTCTTACAAATTGTGAATGTTGGTGTGAAACAGATTAATGAAGCTTTTGAATCATCCCTATTTTGTACTTTATCTAGTTACATAAATGAATTAATTAGTAATTATAACTTCAGTTGCAATTTTATGATTGGTTTTACTAAAACATAGACGGATCACACGTTTATGGGCTTTCTTTCAATTTATCTTCAAGACATCATGTCCTATAGTTCGTCATCCTTCATGAATGTAAACAGACATTGTTCACAAAGGCTTTCTCCCCCTTTCCACTGCTATTCGTAATGGTCATTATCCTAAAAATATTATATTTTTTCTATAAAAAGGAAAAAAAGAGAAAAAAAAGTAAGGTAATGGAAAATATTAAAAGGCCATTGACATTCCACATTAGATAAATTACTGTAAGACTCCTAGCTTTTCCTGTTAAGGCAAATCCAGTATGAAATGGGGATTATAGCCCACCATTTGGGGGCTACATTTACATGCAACTAAATTTTTATAATAATTGAAACAGTTTTAACATGTATAAAAATTCTCATAGGAATTAAATATAGTCTCCCTGTGTCAGATTATTTATTCTTAGCATAACTTTAAATCTTTCTTGAACCTCAATCTTTGAAAATAGTTTTAGTTCTGGTAGTGATATTAAAGATTATTTGAGCCAGTTTTAGCTTAGTAGGTATTGAAGAGACCAAGCTTCATTGAGAGTTTCATAGCATAGACTGTATCCCCATGGTCATCCAGCATTGTCATGCATTGGTTGGTCAAAATGGGGACCAGGAGAGAGTAATTTCAAACTCTCCACTTTTATAGTTCTTTTAACCCTGGCTAAAGTAACATTTCATAAATGCTTTTCAAGTCTGATCCATATTTAAGAATACCCAATGCTTTGAAAATACATAAATAATAAAGTCCAATTCTTACAGTGCATTTGAAGTGTTACTTTAAAATATTTGAAGCAAGATGGTGTGGCAAGATGAAAATATCACTGGACTAGGAGGAAAATGAGTTAGATTCTAGATGTCTTTTAGAACTCAGATTTTGGGCACGTCATTGTGCATGTTAAAAAATTATCTCAAAGGCTTTACATTATGTAATTTACATTGTTTACATAAAGATATACCTATTTTTCAAGCTCAGCACAATCTGTAACTTTTTACCTGTATTCAGTGCCAGTCTTGGGCAAAATTGTGCAAGAGGTGAAGTTTATATTTGAAAATACATTCTCCAATTTCAGTACTCCACTTCCATATTAATGGCATTTTGCCTGCCTACCCTTCCACATGAACCATGAGTTGAGAGAATTTTTTTTTTAATTTTTTAATTCCCCTCACCTCAAATTTTATTGCTGCTATGGATGTCTCCATGAAGTCTGCCCATTAAGGTACATCAAATTGTCTCTCTTCCCCAGGGCTCAAAATAATCTGACAGATACCATAATGGGATTGGACATAACAGCTAATTTTCCGATAATTGCAGTAGCAATTTAATCTTGATCCTTTGAACATGATGTATTTGCTGCCTGGTCCACTGGTGACTAAGTAGCAATTTTCAGACTTAGTATGAATAGACAGAACCCTATCCAGTGGAAGAAGAATTTAATAAAGGTAGTAGTTAAATCTACATCTAGGAGTATCCTGGTAACAATGATACATTCCATGATTTTAATAACTAAAACCTTCTTACAGTGAAAACTTTGAAATTTAATCATAAAGCTTACTTTTTAACACAATTGATCTATTTAACAAATGTTTATTCAGTGCCTGTCATATGCCAGCTACCACATAAGGCACTGGGGATATGGTATCCCCAAAGGGACATAATTTCTTATCCTTAAGGAGTGCTAGAGTGGTCTGTAATACCTTAGTAAAGCTTTTGGCACATGATCCAGAGGTGGTAATATAATGCACACTTTTGTTTTTGCAAAAAGGGGGTTTGGTCTGTCAGATTTCTTCAATTCGACAATAGACGTTTTTCTGTAATTCCAGTGTAACTGTTTAATCAAGCAACTTTATATAAATCACTTTACTTCATTGTTTTAAAGGAGTAAAAATTCCCAAATATGTAATATTCTAGTTTTCTCTTTGTATAATTAAAATAGACTTTTAAAATTAAATATTGACTTCTAAAATAGTTTTATTGGGGTACAAATAAAACAGGTGCCTGAGCTAATTCACAGTAAAGGAAATTTCTGTGTAAAAATCAATATAATTTCTGAAATGCTTTATTAAACTACAGATTTGTGGAATACTGGGTAGGTTGTTAAGACTTATGCAGTACTTTTTGTTGCTACACAGAGAAGGAAATGGACAATTCAGGAATTGCAGTATTCAGGATACTTAGGACTCTTGAATTTTTTGATGTAGCTGGGCAAATTTTTTTAAGGTAGTGGTAATTATCCTCTATTATGTTTGAATGGTTTAACACTGTTTTGTAGAGATTTTAAAAGGGGAGAGAATTCTAGAAATAAACATAAATGTTATCTAATTACTACAGCCTTAAAGATAAAAATTCTTGAAGTTGGAAAATAGTGCTAAATTACATAGTCTTAGACAAATAACGTTTGTGGGAAGAATATAGCAGACATATGTAGTATAATTTGAGTGAATGTTCTCAATTAGGAATTCTAGGCTCTATTAACTGAGTCACACTGCATAGGAATTTAGAACCTAACTTTTATAGGTTATCAGAAATCTTTGCCACCATTGCACAATTTTGTCCTTATGAACATTGTGAGGCATGTTAAGTTACAGTTTGCACAACTTCATCTCATTTTTATTCTAGTGATTTTTTTTTCTTCTAACCACCTTTCCCCCCAATACACATATAGAGATTTATTTTGTAGGCAGTAAAAATTATCTGAAATAATTTCCCATTTGTGAAAAAGTAGTAATTTCTTGAAAAAAGTAATGTTTTTAAAAACTTAGCAGTTACTTTAAAGCTGAATTTATTAATAACTTCTGTTATAATATTGAGTAGCATGAATTCTACATTGAGAAAGTGATTAACTTAAAGCTGGTAGCTGTGAAATTCTGTCAATGAAAATTATTTCTTTCTAAAGACATATATTAGTTCTTGAAGAATAGTCATAGCTAGATTAAAATTTGTGTTTTAGCTTCATAGTTTAAAGTGCCTGTTTGGGATGATGATAGGCATTTTAGATGAATTAGGAAAAACAAAGTTATTACTGCAGAAACGTCAATTTCAGAGGGTCCACTTCCCGCCTCCACCCCAGTAGAGCTAAATGGGTTATATGTTTTATCTGGAAGTTTCCAATTCCACTGTCTTGTGTTTTCATGTTGAAAATACTTTTGCATTTTTCCTTTGAGTGCCAATTTCTTACTAGTACTATTTCTTAATGTAACATGTTTACCTGGAATGTATTTTAACTATTTTTGTATAGTGTAAACTGAAACATGCACATTTTGTACATTGTGCTTTTTTTTGTGGGACATATGCAGTGTGATCCAGTTGTTTTCCATCATTTGGTTGCGCTGACCTAGGAATGTTGGTCATATCAAATGTTAAATTTAAGAATGACCATTCTTTTAATTAAAATTAACTTTTAAATGTTTATAGGAGTATGTGCTGTGAAGTGATCTGAAATTTGTAATATTTTTGTCATGAACTGTACTGCTCCTAATTGTAATGTAATAAAAAATAGTTATGGTGACTGTGGTAGTGTGTCTTTCTTATTTCTTTATAATCTTCTCTCTCCTTCTTTCTCTCTTTTTGCAGTACTGAGGATCAAACCCAGGGCCTCACATGTGTTAGGCAAGTGCTTTACCACTGAGCTATATCCCAAGCCCTGACAATGTGTATTTCTTAATGGAAATTCTCAAAACATTTGCTCCCTAATTGATATGGAACATTTTATAAGATGTATACACTGAAGTATACTAGTAGATCCTTTTTATAGCTTTTACAATTTAGAAATGTTCTTTGTTTATAGAAGTTGCTAAGAACATTATGTAATGTTTGAACAAAATTCATATAAGGTTAGGCCCACCACCATGTTAATTCACGCAGAAGTAGATGCAAAACAAATCTGCTTTTATGACAAAAAATAGAATAAGGTTATTATTTTATTTTGAAAGAAGGTAATTGATTCACAACAAATGATTTAAGGCCCAAGGGAGTCAACAGCAAAGTTAATAATGGAAATAATAGTTATGTAATGCCAATCACTGGGAAGCTATTTCAAGGTCAGAAGTAATCTTCCTCCATATCTGTTATTTCTACAACTGCATTTAAATCATTACTGGGTGTTATTTTTTTAATCATCCTTTAATATGTTATTGCTTATTAAATGGCATTTTCTTGTCAGTACAAGGGAGAAATTGGCTAAAAGTAATAGACTAAAGTTAGAAAACAATTTCTTACTGGGTTCTTATTAATTTATAATTGGTAGTATAAGTTAAATTGTTATTTTAATAAAAATTGAGCATAAAGGATTGTGGATGTATCTCTTAGTTATCCGGTTGAAACATACTAGTTTTGGTTCAGCAGGACAGTTCAGGTATTTTTTTTTTACACATGTATATCTTGCCATTCTAGTTTAGAATATTTGGTATACACAAAACAGATGGTACTGAGTTTTCAGCTGATTTATAGTAGTAATGATCACTTAGTTCCGTTGATGTCTGAATAATAGCGTTGTTTCATAGCTCTGTATTTCCTAAGGAAGTATAAGGCTTCTAGCTCTTTCATGACAAATTCGCCTCGTTCAATAAGTTCTTTGATCTTCTCTGGATCCTTCACATCTTTGTTTTTAAGGAAAACATTCTTCAAACGCCTTTTAAAATAGTCTGCTCCTTTTGGATAGTCTCGTCCAAGGTATAGCAGCTTGAAAAAGAAAGATTATATATTACTAAATAATCAGGGTTATATGACAACATTTGTAAAACTGGCAACATAATTACTCACATTTTTATAAAGATTCAGTACTTCTCCTCTTAAAGAATTGGCCATTTTCATTTAACATTTAAATTAATCCACTTTTATACATAACATACCTAAAGAAAAGGAAAATTTTTTGTAAATAACTCCACTGTATTCTTAAATAATAAAATAATACAGATCTTATACACTGGGAAATGGTACCTTTTTTTAACCTTTTGGTAAGTAGCCCTTTTATTGATGTTTGAGGTACTGAGATATAGCTATGAACATGTCAGCTATGTGAACATGTACAAAACTACTTCTAATGGAGTCTTAATAAACAAGATAATTATGAATGGTGACAAGTTCTATGAAGGAGAGAAGATTATGAGAAAACAGATTATCTTAAGTACAAAGCACTATCTCCTTTTACTACACAGTGGAATGAGAACTAGATTTTACTCCCACCTGCAAAATGTGTTCTACAGGTTACTTAACTTTTGAGCTTCGCTTTCTTTAAGGGAAAATTCTTTTTACCCTGTTCTCAAGGCAAGGCCAGGTCTGTTTGGGGGATATTAAGAGTCCTGATCAAATCTAGAAGGGTAGTCTCCAGAGGAAGGTTAAAAACTAAAAGAAACTGAGTATGTGAATAAAACAGGTTGGCAGTGATTAGTAGATACACAATATGATAGATAAACCATCTATCTACTTATTTATCTACAAGAGTGTCCATGAAGAAGAGGCAACATCCAGTGGCATGCAAAATGCTTCTCTCTATATCTTTGTTAATGCTACAATAAGGAGAGGAAGCTCTTTAAAGGCACCATTACAGCCTAAACACAAAATAATTCCTACTAGTTAAAACTATTAGAATTAAATCAAAATCCCTCACACTGCATCCTATCAGATGGACACAATTCCAAGATATTCCTTTATGGTTCCAATTTTGATCACTGGATTAAAGTGGTGTTATTCAAGTTATTTCTCCAAAGTACCTACTTTTTGTTTGTCTTTCAGTGGACAGTGGTATTTAGAAACTACCACCTCATGGAATATTTTAGAAACCAAGATATGGGAGCTAGAAGTGCTTAAAACAGTGGGTTTGTCACTATTCCAAGGACCTCTTCAGTTGGCAAACTTGCAAACAAATATATATACATGTAGATTAAGTGTGATATGTGTATACATAACACAATTATTTTTATACAAATTTCTATATAACCTGATAACATTCAATTCCAACATTACAAGGTTTGTTTTCATTTTAGTTTTTCCTTTCCACAGTTTTAGCACTCTTGTCCACCAATAAGAAATCTGGTTCTCATTATCCTCCATAAATTTGCTTTTTGGATCATCACTCCTCCACCCACAAGGCAACCAAATTCCTGTCACTGTCACCACTCAACACACAACTCCTCTGAGCTCTGCCACCTAGTTCCACCATCCCACATTTTCTTCTTCCCATTCCTTTCTTCTCATCTCCCTCTCTGAGGCTCAACAATTATGCTGTGCCACTACCCCCTTCCTAGATAAGTTTCACTTGTTCCAGCTGCAACAACCTGTGCCACCACCTTCTCTATCCAAAGAAATGTTCTCCTCACTTCATGATAGGCTCTTATAAACAAAGCCCTCCTAACCCCCAAAGACCATTCTCATTCATTTGAGCTCCAATACCATTTGCTGGATATTACCTTACAATCCCTTCATCTCTCTTCCTTTCTCCAGATGCCCACCCACTTAATGACCTTTGAACTGAAGGTTTTTTGTACATAAGTTTTAAGGGTTATTTTATAGTTAACTAGTAGAAAGTATAAATTAAAATTATAGCACCATGTTCAGTTAGAAATAATTGTGCTAAGTCCTCCCATTACTTTTCTTTTGGTTCAGTCCTAAAGTACAATAATATAGACTCATCATTAAGACCTCACCTGTCCCCTGCTAAGGGCCATTGCCAAGTAGGAATGATGCATCGAAATTTCCTTGCCAGCGTACCCCATGTTAAATGGTCTTGCCTTGGAAATTCGCTGTGACATTGCATGTGTGTTTGAGAAAGGTGACCCTGCTCAAGGACCAGGGTGGATCCAGGTTTAGGGTGTATCCTGCAGGTTTTAGGAAGTATCCTACTCCTTGGGTTTAAGGCGTTCAGGTTTAAGACAATCTGGGTTTAAGGAAGTTCCAGGTTGAAGGTTATTGCTGCTGGGAATAGGGCGTATCCTGCTGCCTGAGTTCCCGGTTGAGTTCTCGTGGTATTGAGAAAGTATTTGGGCGGCCGAACTTGGATTTCCCGAGAATGTGTTTGTACAAGGCCGGTGTGAGTTCGGGAATAAAGAATTGCTGTTTGAATCTACAAGGTGAGTGGCTCGTGATTTTGTGCTCAGCCAAGACTGCAGCAGTCCCCCTGCCTCATTTAGGCATTTTGACAAAATTTACATCTTTCATAATTTGAAAGGTAGGGTGTCAGTGTTTTCATGCATATTGTCTTATGTGTTTATATCTTATGCTTAAGAAAAAAGTGCATAAAATGTGGAAATTTAAAGTCATTCAGGTTATGAAATAATTAAATCTTTGAAGCCTTCATATGTGTCTTTCCAGTCATCTCCTTCCCATCTCTACCAAGGTGACCACTGATGACTTGCAAATTACTCTTGCTTTGTAGTTTTCCCAACCATGAACACTTTCTTAAAAAATATATTTAGTTTTGACAATTTTAACAGCAAGCATGAGTCTAAGTAAGGACAGAGGAAATAATCCTGTTACTAAATGAAAGCCCAAAAGTCCTAATCTGGCTTTACCTTCCCCAGGATTTAAAGTTCCCTTCAGGAGTATTTAGTAATGTTGTGAATCTTCAGCTCTCCACAAATGAAGCCTGTGGAAATCAGGTATAAATACTGACACTTGATTTCTGGCTATTACACAGAATAGGGAAGAAAAGATTATTATTTACTTTAAGCTCTCCAAAGCCCAATATCAGCTTCTGGGAACAGGTTGAAGCAAAAGGTCAAAATTAGTGTCCTTAAGTTGATTCAGTCAGTGAACACAGCACAGAAGAGAGCAGGTATTTCATTTCCATATGGTCCAGACAAGGCAGGTACTGATTAGAATCTGCCAGACCTGCCTTGGTTTAATGTCCTCATAAAAAGAGGGTCCAATGGTAACAGGAATCTTGATAGCTCTCAATGTTTGATTCTGGATTGGTTGTTCCATATCAACTATTGTGTTGGGATGTCATTTGTCCATCCTAGAAATTCCTTTGTCTTCTATATTGACTATCCTACTTCTCATTTTCCAAAGTGTCCCTTTTTCTGATTTTCTTGTTTTGGTAAAGCACATCCTTTAATACAAAAGGGCATATAGGAGTAAATAAGACTTTGAATGTCTAAAAATGGCTGGCCACTTTATATTTGATTGATAGTTTGGTTGGGTATAGAATTTTAAGCTGGAAACAATTTTCTTTCAACATTTTGAAGCAATTGCTCATCTGTAATTTTACTTCCAGCACTGCTATTAAGAAGTTCAAAGCAGCCTGGATAAATGATCTTTTATTTATATGTGATGTATTTTTTTCATCTCCTCAGAAATTTGAGACTTCTTTGAAGATTTTGAAACTTTATAATGCATGGGTTTCTTTCTCTGTGATACACTTAGCTTTTGCAATCTGGAAACTCTGAAGTCTGGGAAAGAAATTAATTCTGTTCCTAGTTTCCTGTCCCTCTCCCCAATTTTCTCTTTTCTCCCTTCTATTATTTGAGTGTGTGAAATTCTAGATATGCCCTCTTTTTTTTTTCTTTTTTCAATTTTCTGGGATACTTTCTCATAATCTTCCAAGTGTTCTATCAAGTTTTTTCCTTTTTGCTATAATCTCTAAGAACTCTTATTATTAATTTTTTTTAGTATCCTGTTCTTGCTTTAAGAACACAGATGTTTTTGTAATTACATAATATATGTATCTCTGAAAAACTTTGATTTTGCAAAAACATTAAAAATAATAAGAGAGGCTATGGGAGATATGTTTGATCAGATACCTCAAATTCTATACAGCTGGGGCTAGGGATGTGGCTCAAGTGGTAGCGCGCTTGCCTGGCACGCGTGCAGCCCGGGTTCGATCCTCAGCACCACATACAAAGATGTTGTGCCAGCCGAAAACTAAAAAATAAAGATTAAAAAAAATTCTCTCTATCTCTGTCTCTGTCTCTCACTCTCTCTTTAAAAAAAAAATTCTATACAGCTGAAATCAGAGCAGTATTCAAAACCAGAAATGGTACTTAGACAGTTAATCTGAAACATTTAGACTTCTCTCAGAATAGGAAGAGACCACAGAGAGGTTAAAAATAATAGAGTAGTCTGAGGATGGGAGTAGGGGGGCTGGAGACTTGGGTGAGAATCAAACATGAATGAAGCAATCACTGGGGATGATGGATATGTTTATTTTTCATGGTAAAGGTCTCATAGTTGCATAATAGATATCAAACTTATCAAATTATACTTTATTATATATAATTATGCCTTAGTAAAACTACTAAAAATAGAATAGGAATTCTGATAAGACATTAAGATACATATGTAAGCAGAGATCTATCCAAATGATCAGGCTGCCAGTTAGTGAGTAGGGGTAGGTGTTCAACCTGCCTCCAGTCAGCAGCTACACATAATTTTCGGTATGTCTTCCTGGGGAGGAAGTACTGGATATAAGCTCTTATTTTACAAAGTAAAATAGTATATCTAAAAGGTACCTCCTGCCAGTATAGCAGCTAAGCAAAGACCTTTTCTTGCTGACTCATATCTTTTTTTCTGGCCTCTCTTTAGGGGGAAAGACTAACATAGGAATCAAAATTATTTCCACACTAATACTTAGAAAATTCTCTTGTAGTTTATAAGCTAACTCACATAATAAACATAATGGAGTCAAACCTTTTTTTCTCCCCTTCTGAGTTCACTGTTAGCTTTGTTGAAACTTTCTATTTTATTCCCAATTGCTCTCCCCCCACCCTCTTTTTTTTTTTTTTTTATCTCTATCACTTCTGAGCTTTCTTCCAAAATCTGGTGTTCTTTTTCTGTCCATTCTTTTAAGGACAAAAAAGTCTTCTAGATCTGCATCTATGATTGAATCTTATAGCCTTTGAACTTCACTTCAGATATCCTAGGTGGGTTCTTTACCTTCTGATGTATCTTGGATTGTACCTCTTGGGCTGCTCAGTTCCCTGAGCAGTCTACCAATCTCTGAGGATTGCCTATTAAACCTTAAAAAGAAAGAGGAATGAGGGTCTTGCATTCAGCATTATGAATACCTAAATTCTGTCGCTTCTCATGTATTACAGTATACTTGAAGATGCCCTAGTATTATTTTGTCTAGAAATAAACCTCCAGTCATCTGTGGGAATGAGGGGTGTAGTTACTTAAAGGAATCTATCAAATGCTTTCATTTAGTTCTCTTTAAAATTTTCATTATTCACCTCCAATTCCAGGGCCACTGTTCCAATGTCTTTTAAGAATACTGTGGTAAAAACTGGGTTTTTCTAGGTCACCTTTATTCATCGTTTTCCAGCTTCTAAAGTTTTATTGCTGTCAAAACCTCTCCAAATCTCATTTTTATATCCCTTCAGAAAGAGACAGTAGAATTCTGGAAGGGAGTAAAATCAGGGTATACTGAACCTACCAAACAACAACTAAGGTATTTCATTAAAATATTTTTTGGGGAAGGGCCATTATCAGAGTGAGCTATTCTTAAGAATGTTAAAGAACCATGTGGTTCTCAAAAAATTCAAAATTAAATGTATAGATATGATTTTAAATTGCAATAGACTGTTTAATGTCTGGCAAATAACCTGGCTTCATTTAATTAACAATTTGTAATATATGAAAGCTTTTGAGAACCTGATTTATGTTGCTGGCTTTTTTTTTAAACAAATTATTAATAAAAGATTTGCCTAGCAAAAAATGTAGCTAGTGTGGCTAAGGTAAAAATTGTCCAATTCTTTGATGTTATGTGAATGAAGTCAGTTTATTGTTATATTGCTGACTTTCAGGCATTTGAGTTTATTTCAGCTATTGGGAGAAACAGGTCTTCTTGGGTTTCCAATTTAGGAAACTATTTTAAGTCCAGCAGGGACATGGGCTGCTGCTTAACTCTTCATGAAGTCATGGAAGTTATGGAAGCCAAAAAAATTAGGGTTTAAGAGAAACTCCCCATTATTCTAAGAACTTGGGTATGTGATGAGTGAGAAAGAGGTGCAATCCCCATTGATTTTTTTCATTGATGCAGATTAGGAGTTAACTAACAATCAGCTCCACTCCTAGGTTAACAGTGAATTGTCAATTTACTAGGAGTTATGGTGCCCAAATTGTTAATTATTCTTTCCTATAAAGTTCAGATAACAACATAAGCTGAAGGAAAACACAAAAGAGAGGCAGTATAAAGTTATTTGTAATTGGTTCTAGTCGACTTAAACAGGTGAAGCACAATTTCCCCAAACTAGAAAGAAAAGAAAGAAAGCTTTATACACAAAAATTGTACCAACACACTTGCCATCAGCAAATAAGTAATCAAGAGACAGGTGACAAGAGATTTTACCCTTAAAGGCCAGCATACACATTCATCTAGGCCTGGAAAGCAGACTATACAAAGTGAGTTGTGGATAGGTATGTTTAGAAGGGGCAGGTAGGTGCTACACCTGTCTGAAGGTAAAGAGATACCAGGGAGCAGGCCTGTACAAGGATACTAGTAGACAGTAAAGCTCATGAGTATAATTCCTTATGCCACAGTGACTAACAGAGATCAGCATTTTGGAATCCAACACATCTATGCAATTCCTCCTCCCAGGGAAGGAGGTTAACAGAGAGCTTGAGTAGATTCTTTCCCCTGGAGGTCTACCATTTTAAGGTAGTTTGGGTTTACCATTATCCTTTGCCCCATCGATCCTAATTAAGAGATGACTAAGGTTTTGTATTAAATATTAGTAGTTTCGTTTAATTCAAAACAAAAGCACACTTCTATACCAAATAGCTACAGTGAGCTGTAAAAGGGCTCCCAATGAAGCCAAAAGTAAAAACAACAGATGTTTTTATCTAGCTTCCAGCATGTGGAGGTAGGTGGGATGTAATAACTATTACACACTAAGACTTCTGTTAATTGGGGCTTATAATGTTTTACCCACAAAGGCTAGTTCTGTCGGTACTACTTTTTAAAAAATCAATAATACATTTCATCAACGGTGTTGGAAGGGATAGAGCATTATTAGAATTCAGAGATGAGAAAAAGGGCCAATAGTTTTAAAGTACTTCCGGCCTTGTCATGAAAAAACAGGGTTTACACAAGTCCTAAAATCACAGAGAAAAATTGGGGCTATGGAAAAATAACAGTCATTTAATTTCTTCTCATTTTCCTCTTGGTGTGGGGTGCAGGTGTTTATTCATGTGTGGAAGGGACAGAAATTATGAAAGTTGTGCTATTTGTTAGTACACTTAAGTGTGTGACCTTGGGCACATAAGTCTTGCTGGGCCTCAGCACTCAGCAGTCTTCAACTGTTAGGAATATTTTGCCCACTAATTACTTCAAATCATTTTCAATTCTTGTTTATGGCTGTCCTTAGGATAGGGGAAACGTACTTTTCACAGAAAGTAAACAGATCCACGAGCAGAGAGAAGATTCTGGACTATGTTAATCTAAAAGTAACCAACCCTCTAGGAGTCAATTTGTTCCTATCCAAATTTGCAAATGATCCTTTCCCCTGGCTGGCCTAACTCTGGTGGCCCAGGTAGCGCACTAGGATGTCTGTCGCTTGAACCAAACGCGGGTCGCTCCCTTTCTTCTGGAAACCCTCCCAGAAAGATTCGCCCAGACTCACTTTAGGCAAGAAGAGGAGAGAGACTGTCAGCGTCGGAGGAAGACGCTCAGAAACCCCTTCCCACACCCAGTGGTTCTCGCCCAGACATACTTCACCAACTCCAGACCCCAGAATCCGGAAAACAACAAAGCGCCCCGGTGGCTGCACTCTGGCGCTTTCCGGTACGCTACAGCCTGAAGAGCCTCTGACCCAGGCTACTTCACGGCTCCTCCACAGCCCAGCCAGGCGGGGTGAAGCTGAGGCAACCTGTCAGCGGTGGGGGCGGGACGACAACCGGAAGTTTCTCTGTGCGGCGGTGCACGCCGGTATAGGCGGGCCTGAGCTCCGCCTATGTTGCGCAAGTGGGCGGTGCTTGTTGTCTTGACCTCCTGGGCAGCGTTTGTTCACAACTGAGGTCTGACTTTGCTGACGGGGAAGGTCGTTCTTGCTTCCTCATGGTGAGAGGGGAAAACGAGAGGTGGTTCAAGAGGCGAGCGTTAATTCAGCTTCACCAGTGTTGAGTGACGTAACTAGAGCCCGTCATATTTTAGAAAGGAGCTGCTCAGTTGAGGAAAGAACCCTTAGCCCGGGGCGGGTCCGTTTTCTCCAGACTGGTAGCCTTGGGGTCCTGAATCCAGCAGACAGGTGGGAGTCCCAAACCATTTTCTGCAAACAGATAGCCATAATGGTAACATGATGTCCTAATCTTACTTGTTGCTAAACTGAAAACAGTCCCAACCTAGTAATTCCCAATGATAGACGTTTCCACTAATTTGCTTTCTTATTCAAATTTGGCAAATATGTATTTACATCTCTTCTGTAGTTAATTAAAAGCTGATAAATTTATTGTACTCTGAAAGGTTATCTTGTGTGGTATTTCTTAGGAGTATGAATTTTTTTATCATTCAGTGTAGTCAATCTGCATTAAATATGACAAAGCTTCACATTTTGTTTTTGTGTACCCAGCTGTCAAGTCTTCCCCAAGGAGACAAACCAATACATAACTATGAGCTGATCTCTTTTCCCATTTTCTTAAATGTGATTTCCACCAAGAGATCTTCTATGATTAAAACCAGAGGAAGTGAGAATGTAATTACTTGGTTAATTATTTAATGCATTAATTAGAGGAAAATATGGAGTGCTTTCTTTGTGTTTGGCGCTGGGGTGGAAGCTAGATATGAAAACCAATGTGACAACCCTTCTATGGGAGGCAGATGAAACAAAATAACTTCAGTGCAGTTTTATAACAATTGAAGAATCAAAAAGGGGGTAACACAAAGTTGGAAATGATTAAATTGGGGGAAGGGGGAGACAGGAAAGAGTTGGGTTTTTCAACCTGTTTTAAAATATAAATGTGACTTTTCTACAAGTGATGGGAAGAAATAGGTAGTAGAGAGCACTTCTGTCGGAATACTAACGGGTAAGCCAATTTAAAACTATTGGTAAATTGGGAGAACAAAAAGTACCTATTTGTTCCTTTTGAATGTGAGTTAAAGTTTCTTCTTCTTAGATTCTTACAGCAATATTTCTCAATTGTAGCCCCTGGAGCTTTTATCGCTAACTCACTGGAGTACTTGTTAAAAACGCAGATTCCAAAAACCCACTCAACTCCAAACATATTGAACTGGCTGCCATGAAATACTACAAACTAAGTAGCTTAAACTATAGAAATTTGTGTCTCACAGTTACAGAGATTAAGGCATCAGCAGGGCTATGCTTCCCCTAAAGACCCTAAGGAGGGACTTATTCAGACCTACCTTCTAGCTTCTAATAGTTCCTTGGTTTGTGTCAACATAACTTCATTCTTCACAAGATATTCTCCCTGCAAGAGTGTCTTAAGTCCAAGGTTCCCCTTTTTATAACACCAACCCTATTCCATTATGTCCTCATCTTAATTTAACTAATTAAGTCAGCAGTATCCTATTTCCAAGTAAGTTAAATTCTTAGATACAAGGGTTTAGGACTTCTTCATGTGAATTTAGAAAGAACACAATTCAACCCATCACATCTGCTGAATCATAACATGGGAAGGCAAGTGAGTTCAGGAACATGCATTTCTATGAAAGATTATCAGATGATTTTTATGCCTTCTGAACTTTGAGAACTATTTTACTGCATAATAGCTCTTATGATTTTCAGGAGGAATGAGGATATGTACTTACCCCTAACCTGTTTCATATTAGAAGCATGAGAGATGACAGTTTGCCCATCTTAAAATAGGGCTACTCAAGAACAAGAACAATGTTATTTACATATTCTGCTGTATAGTATTTATAGCTGGTTGAACATGTTTCTATTAATTGATAGCAAATATTATAACAAAAATATAACCCATTTTTAAAAACCATATGAGATCAAAATATCTATTATTCCTCTGTACTTTGTCTATAGCACCTCAGACTGCCTTACGCATAAAGCATTAGTAAATATCTGCTGAATCAGTAAAATATATATACTTTTCAAGAAGATGAAATCTAATGTGTTATATAATGATAATCTTGTGACTTGAACCAGTATTTTCCTTGTATAGCTTTTCAAATATATATAATCATATAATCACATGATCTATTACAAATTCCTTACAAGAAATCTGATGGATATATTGGCTTTATCAATAACAAGTAATGTTATTGAAAATACTCATAATTATAAATCTTTATTGAAATATTTTACTTTCCAAAATAACTTCCAGAAAAGAATAGATCTGCTGTAAAGAACCTTAAATCTTCATAGCTTTGCCTTCTTTATATAACCAATTCCCTTTCAATAAAACCTACCCATCTTATTATACAGAAAGATTATTTCTTTATAAAATGAGATCATTTCCACACTTGCACATTTGATGTTACTACCAATAATTAGTCACCAATTTATTATTTTTGGAACCCTTTAAACCAGTACTTTCTTGACTGGTACTCAGTTTAGTGGTAGAGTATTTTACTAAATAATAGATACTTGATTGTCATAAGAAATATCGTTGGAAACTATGTACAAAAGATGCCCTCATGGGTGAACTATCTTAGTTTTTCCTGTAGTACATACTTATAGTTTTGTCTGAATTGTGTGTGTGGTTTTATGTTTAACCTAAATCATTTTTTAAACAGCTTTTTAATTTAGGATAACTTTAGATTTACAGAAAAGTTGCAAAGATGGTACAGAGAGTTCCCTTATGCTCTTTACCAAGGTTCTCCTAATTTTAACATCTTACATAATCATGATATTTTTGTTGAAAATATCTGAATTATTTTTAAAATTTATCATTTGTTTTCCAACTTTTAGGGTCCCAAAGAAAAAAAGGTATGTAGAAATTATTATTTTTCTCAAAATAGTTTATTTTATGAACACATTGTTTTACAGAATTCTTATGAAATTTTAAGCTAATTTTCTAGTTTTATTATAATGTATAGAATTTACTATGCTTACTTATTTACATATTAATTCTATTTAAATCATAGAATAATCCTTAAAAATTATAAACATTTTAAATTTGATATAAAAAAGATATTTCTAATTTCATAAATACAACTAAAAATTGCCTTTATTTTTACCTGTGTTTAGATTTAAGGCTCTTTGTTACTTCTGCTAAAAAAAATTTTCTTTTAAGAACTCCTTTTCTTGTCTATGGCCACACCACCCTGAACGCTCCCGATCTCATCTGATCTCGGAAGAACTCCTTTTTCTTTTTCCCAGAAAAACACAAAAATTTATTTGTAAAACCTGCTATGACTTAAAAATGAACCCCAAATTAATATGAGTTTAAATGGATTAACACATACTTGTGTGTTTTTTTATTTTTTATTTTGTTTTTCTTTTTAGTACTGGGTAGAAATATAGTTCAATAAAAGATGTACTGTTCTCTGTGTTTAGAATGCCCTTTTTTCTCTTCTTCACTTTTTGGATTGACTTTTCTCAATGGCAGCTAACCCTTTTAGGAGTGCAGAAAGTCTTCAGTTTGCCATAGTTCTCACCATGGCCACATCCCTTACTTTATTTACCTACCTGGTCTCAACAGGGATTTATTTAGGTTTAAAATGCCTGCTTTAAGACATATCTCAAGGTTCATTTCTTCATAGATTTTCCCATTATTTCTCTTGCAGACTCAATTACAGTGGGCTTCTCTATTCATAGATTCTACATCCATGGAGTCAACCAACCATGGCTTAGAAATCCATTTTTAGGGCTGAGGTTGAGGCTCAGTGGTAGAGCACTGGCCTAGCATGTGTGAGGCACTGGGTTTGATTCTTAGCACCACAAATGAATAAATGAATAAAATAAAGGTCCATCAACAATTTAAACAAAATTTTAAAAAAGAAATCCATTTCTAAACAATTGTGACTTTAGAATATAACAATTAAATCCTAAAAGCTAAAAGAAATAACGTTGAGTGTTGAGTATGTCACTGTAAATGATAAGTTTTAAAAAAATTGCATTGGTACAGCTTTTTTTGTCATTATTCCCTAAACAATACAGTATAACAACCATTTATATAATATTAACATTCTATTAGGTATTAACAAGTAATCTTGGGATGGTTTAAAGTATATGAGAGGATGTGCTTAAGTTATATGGAAATACTATGCTATTTTATATAAGGGATGTGAGCATGTGTACACTTTGAAATCCATAGAGGCCTAGAACCAATCTCCAACCTATATCAAAGGACACTTGTATTCTTATAGTACATGCATTTCTACATACCTAAATTATAATTCATAACATTTTATTGGAATTATGTATTTATGTCTGTGAGCTGTTAAAGTTAAGGTACATGTCACCTATTTTTATGTCCATAACATTTAGTACAGTGCCTGGCATGTGTAGAAATTCAGTCAATGTTTGTTAAATAAATATGTGAAACTCCATTTACTCTGCCAATACTTAAAAACATTTGAGTCCTTGACTGCTTGGAAGAAACACTTGCATAAATGTGCAGTTGCTATTGATATAATTAAACATTTCTTTAAGAAATATTGTTGCATGCCTTCTGTGTCTGCATTTGTCAGTTATTTGGACCCACTACCAACATGATACTCTTAGAGGTTGTAAATATAAAATTAATGAAGCACTCATAAAAGTTCTTAATAGGGAGGCTTCTGGAGGGTGCTATATATCTCTTCAGTTAGTCATTGGTTTATGTGGACTTTTTTTTTCCTGATCCAAATTCTTAAATCTTAGAGGAATTATTTTAATCTGAAAACTCATTGTTTACTTTGGTGCTTAATCATATGTCTTAGTGTGTGTTATCTTGCTAATAACACAATACCACAGAATGGGTACGTTATAATGAAAAGAGCCAAGACTTTGGCTTATGGC